CCTGTGGTTCAGGACACTTGGGTTTCATATATTACTTTTATTTATTACTCACCCTTCAAACAAACATCTCACATGTTAAATAAAAAGACAATGCCTACAGTAATTGCATGGCACAGTGTGAATTTACCATGGTATCTTTGAATGTTTAGATGCCACTATTACTATTATAAATAGAAAAAGGTAGCTGTGTGAAAATGATTATTTCTTAAAGAAAATGAGAATTTAGAATTAGGAAAGAGCATCTTTTCACCGTACTGTTCAGTATTTCTTTTTTATTTGTATCTTTTAGCATGACTTCCTAAGGGTTGCCTCTTTGTCTGCCAGATGAGTGCTCAGTCAATGATTGATGAGAAATTGTCCTAAAACTCTGTGAGCCCTTATGGCTTCCACCCTCTGCTGCTGATGATCTCTGTCTGTTTTGGGGTTCACACCCAAAATTTTATTAGTGTTTAATTATGTCCCAGCATTTTCTTTCAGCTGAGTACCCTCAAGTCTCTATTTATATACCTATATGTTATAAGACAGCTACTGATGTGTGCTATGTTGGGATTTGTATCAAATACCACTATGGCCATCTCTTATCCAGGATCTATCTATTAAATTTCTGGGCTGTCCTTTAGGCTGACACTTGTTCTAACAGGAACCATGATTTCAGCATAGGAGTGCCACTTTCTTCACTGGGCATGGATTTCTGCTTTTTACTTCAAATGGAATCAACACCCCTCGTGCTTTGGTAATGAAGTTGCTTGTTTTCAAGCCAGGCCCGCCCTGGCCCATCTTGAGTGTATGTTAAGGACAGTCCCTGGCAAGAATGCCACAGAATCCCTGTTCTTACCTGAAATTTACCAGTTTTAAATAAATTTACTCTTATTTTTTGTTTGTTTTTAGTATATTTCAAGAGACTCACAATTATTGATTTATTGTTTTTAGCAGTTTGGAGATATATATATATATATATATATACACACACACACACGTGCACACACACACACACACAAGTTGAGGTACAATTTGTCAAACTCTTCACTTTTGATTAGCTGGGAATCCTCTGTCAGTAAGCTTCATTTTTAATAATTTATTTCTTAATTTTGAAATACAGCAACAAATAAAAGAATCCCAAAATGATAATATTTTACCATTAATTTAGTGATAACTGTTGGGGAAACATAATTAAAAACAAAATCTCTTCTCAGTTCAGGAAATTTCCCCACAAAGATAGAAGGGAAGGAAAATCGTCTTATTATTGACTAAGCAATAAACCAAAATGTGGTGTGCATCGCAGCAATCTGCTAAAAATATTTCAGACATAATTCCATGCTTTCAATATAGTGGAGCAGATACAACTTGTACATATATGATCCCAAAATAAACAACAATCCTCAAATAAGAAGACTTGAAAACACCCCTTTTTGCACATAGTTCACCCTAAATTCATTTAGTAACTAACTCTGTAACCATCTGTGTTAGATAATTGGCTTTATCAACATGAAAAATAAACACCTATCTTCATGGCTGATGTAGTTTTGCAACATGGAGCAAAGCATGCTGCCTAAATCAGGCACCTATTCCCACATAAACTGGGAGTACAGGCACTATCTCCCTTGATAACTACATTTTAAAGAGATGCTTCCTAATTATTTGAGAAAGGCATCCCTGCGTCTTAAGCTGTCAAGACATTATTCTGTTTGGCATTTAAAAAGATTTATGTGCATTTAAAAGAAATAGAGAAAGAACTAAAGGAATTTACAATTACAAGTTTTCTAAAGTAAGTGGTCTTAGAGCGGGTGTGGGTGCAGACTTGAGAAGGTGAAAAATGTATTCCTTTATTTTCAAAAGGAAGACTTGGTCCTCTTATTTTTAATTTGTATCTGTCCTCATGCAACTCTCCTAGAAAAAGCCTTTTGGGCTCTACAATTTTCATTGATCCAGCAGTAGACATTATAATGGTAAAACTTATGCACTCCACTATAAAATAAATGTCACATAAAAATTCAAAACCCTCCCCATGATGCCAGCAGTCTCCTAGACTTTTGTATTTATTTCCAGTTTTATTCTAGCTCCAGTTTCTCTGAGTACTGTCTCTTTTAATCCCATGTCAACCTAATTTCTATTTAGGAAATCTATTTATCACAAACAAAGCATGTTTTATTCAGTAGAATTAACTTAGAAACTTACTGAAATTATTGTATAACAAATGTAAATCTTCCACCTCTGCACTGCATCCTTTTCTATCACTCTTTTTCCAGATTGAACCAAGCAGCTAATTTTTTTTCTTAAATTTATGCATGACAGATGAACTCACTCAGTATCCTCCTCTCAAATTTATGTACCTAATCCACCAAAGTCATCAGCACACACACGGACCTTCCATTGAAAAACATGTACTTAGTTTAAGGCATTTGAAATTTAGAGTTTAAATAGCACAATTATGTTTGTTTTAAAATTAGCTCTTTCGTAAGGTGGCAGTTGGAAGAGATATAATCAGCACTCCTTCCATGAGCCAACCATCTTTGGTTTATTCTTCAACTAGAGTATGCATCAGTGTCACTTGCGGGGCTTCTTGAAACACATATTGATGGGTGAAATGTCCAAGATTCTGATGTGTGAGGTATAGTGTGGCAACAAATAATTTGCATTTTTAACAAATTCTTAAGTTATTTCGGTGGTGCCTGCACAGGACCATATTTTTATAGCCACAGTCCCATATGATCCCTTCTCCATACTTGTACAGCAACTCCTGGTGTGCTTTCCCTCTCAGGAGCTAGTATCTGCATTTCTTTGTTGGAAACTGCTTCCAGCTTCCTGAAGCTGTTCTGCCTAAATTCCAAATGAACCAGAAGTTAACTAGGAATTTACTCCCCAATGGAAGATAGCCCTTAACCAATAACTGCTGTTTGTATAAGGGATATAAATGCACAAGCTCCTTTGCCTGCTCATTATAATAATTCAGAGGTTTGGCCTACCTTGTCTTCAGAACCTTCCCCTGGAATGTAACCAACTTTCCACTGTGGGATTTTGATACTACATCATGTTTTGGCCAACTTACTTTTCTGGGTCCACTTCCCTGATGACTGTTCTTGGGAATAATTCCTAATAAACCACTTTTACAGAAATCATTGACTCCTTCTTGTGGAAACCAACTTAAGACAGTATTATAATTTCTCTATGCTATATTTTTGTATAATTTTTCAAAAAATGTCTTTTAGGGATTAATGTATTCTGAAACATTAAAGTTGTTTGACAGTCATCAAACTTTCTCAGCCTGCTGAGTCTTACCTGAGTACCTCCAGCACCTTTGCCTCTCACAAAACAGGCTCAGAAGTTTGAAATAAAAGTTTTAAAAATAAAAGCCTGAAGAATCCTTTAGGATATATAGTCGGGCCTGGTTTATTTCTAATACCAAAATCCTGGGTCCTCTTTCTCCTGGCAGAAGGAAGACAAATGAATAGATACGGGTATGGTGAGGCATACATCTTACTCCTGACAGAATCACTAGCTGAATGACTTTAGGAGATCCACTATTTCCTTCTTTAGGTCTGAGTGTTTTCATTGGTAAAACAGTGAGGTGTGCTAGATATATGGTTTTAATATTTTCTTTTGTAGTATTCTTTTGTACACAAACGAATTCTTAACAACAACAACAGCAGCAAGTAAAGCTACTCTGGTAGGATGAAATGGTAGCACAGAGCTTTGCTCAGATGTTCTTTTTTAACATTTTTCCAGACATCCTCCTTCCAAGTTACTCAACAAAATCTTGAGTTATCTCCACAAAATCAGAATACTAGTCAAAGTGCTGTTTAAAAACCGTGTAACTAAATGTAATTGACAGTCCCATGCACCACAATTTTCTGATTTCTCTTTTATCACAGGCATCTCAGGAACCCTACTTTGACAGCACAAGTCTCTCTCACAAACACCACACCTGGCCCAAGCCTGAAGCTCCTCCATTCTTTAAAACAATCACGTTGACTTGCACATCCAATCTTAAACAATTTTATTAACCTCACACAGCTCTATTTATTAGCACATAAAGCTCAAAAATAGAGAAAATATATTTAATTCAAATTAAGGTACTGTTAATGGAAATATACTCCTTTAAACTTTTTTTTTTTTTTTTGGTTAATAGATTGACATTATAGATTGACATTGTAGAATGTTAGAAAGCATAGAATGAATAAAAACCAGAAGTGAATCAAGGGGGAGGTATTAATTTATACACCCTGATTTTAAGTACATTAAGTGGAATTTCTGTAAAGGATACATTTTCAAAATTTTCAATAGCTTCTTGGTGAATTTTTGTTTTAAATCTTTCATGAATAGAAAGAGGATGCTTAAAAGGAGAGATGGAATGGGTATTGAATTTTAAATCCTCCAAAATTACTCTTTGTGTCATTCTATGCATGCAATGAAAATTTAAGAATCTGAAGTTGAAATTTCATGAGCCTTCTGTTATCATTTCAGAAGTAATTATAGGTGCAGCCACCTTCCCTCTCCAGAGTTTAAGGCATAGAGAAGGAGATAAACTGACTAAAATTTATGTTTTGGGAAGAGCAACAACAGGAAAAAAGCTCTTCATTTTATTTGTTTTTTTGAGGGGGCTGCCTACCACTGTTTAGAATATTTAAAATATAAATCAATGAAAGTAGGTTTAAGTTATATAATCATATCAATTTTCTTAGAAATCCAAGGACTAATTCTTATTTTTTCCTAGAAAATACTCTATTTTTATATCTTTAAATGCAAGAATTATTATACTTTTATTTCTATAATAAGAGAAAGAGATAAACATAGTACTCTATTATATATTAATATTTTAAAAACCTAGAACATCAGCATAGCTAAGTGATAGTCTCTTGTTTTGTGATACAGATAGATGAATTAAACTGTTTTCCCTTTCTGGCTACCTCTTCATATGAAACAAAAGTGTATAGAATGAGAGTATCTGTACAATCCTTAGAATTTTTAACATTCATAGAATTCTCAGAGTGACTTATAGAATGTGGTAGGATTAACAGTGACTTGAAATTAACACAGAAAACTTTTCATTTCCATGGCCCTTTTCATGGCATCCTTGACATCCTTATTTCTCAGACTGTAAATCAATGGGTTTAACATGGGAATCACTAGTGTATAGAACACGGAAACCACCTTCTCCTGTTCCACAGAGTACTGGGAACTTGGCTGAATATAACTAAAGCTTAAGGTACCATAGAAAATGGTCACAGCAGTCAGGTGAGAGGCACAGGTGGAGAAGGCTTTCTGTCTACCTGCTGCCGAGCCAATCCTTAGGATAGCAAAAACAATGAAGACGTAGGAAATGATCACAATCAAGAAGGTGGCCATGGCAATGACTCCAGAGAAGGTTAGAAGCAACAGCTCATTCATGGAGGTGTCAGAACAGGACAACTTTAGCAGTGAGGGAATATCACAGAAGAAGTGTCTGACAATATTCACCCCACAGAAGGACAGTCTCCCCAAGCTTATGGTGTGTATTAATGAGTTAATTATTCCACAAGTCCATGACCCAGTGACAAGCCCTACACACTTTCTCTTAGACATAGCTACAGTGTAAAGCAAGGGATTCACAATGGCCACATAACGGTCATATGCCATCACAGACAGCAAGAAGCCTTCTGTGGTGACGAACACTCCGAAACACAAATGCTGTACCATGCAACCAGAGAAAGAAATAGTTCCCACCACAGCCAGGAGGTTCACCAGCATTTTGGGTGCAATTGCAGATGAATAGCAGGCATCTACAAGTGAAAGACAGCCCAGGAAAAAGTACATGGGGGTGTGGAGTTTTGGGGTGATATGGATTAAACAGATCATGCCCAGATTCCCCACCAAGGTAATGGCATAAATCACCAGGAATAATACAAAAAACACAACTTTCAGTTCAGCACGATCTGTCAATCCCAAAAGAATAAACTCTGTAACAACTGTAAGATTTTCAGCCATTTGTTTGTTTCTTTTAAAAAAATCTGTTGAGAAAAAAAAGATAAAGAATTATAATTTATAAGGAAAATCATACACATATATGTAAAATGTTTAAAAATATAAATGTTATATATATATATACACATTATGATAAAATATAGACAACTACTGATGTTGCTCTTGGGGCAAATAATATCCTTTCTTGAATTCTAAGTGTTTTTAACAATAAATTTAGCAAGTAAACTAGATGATCTCTGATATTTTTTCCAATGATGTTGTTTCATATGATTATATTTCATAGAAACTAACACGTGAAAGACATTTTCTCTAACAGTTGCAGCATATCTCTAAAATGTCTACCTCAATAACAAAGTGAAATTAGCACCGAGAAAACAATTACAATATAAACTAATAGCATGAAAAATACATATTGCTGGATAATTAAATTACCATTCAGTGATTCAGTGAAACTGTCTCTGGTGTTTTTTTGTTTGTTTGTTTGTTTTTTGGTTTGTTTTTGAATTTCAAATCATTGAATAAGAAGGGTTTCTGATATTAGCTTTATTTTGCAGTTATATAGGGAATTAATGTGCAGTTTCATTATTTTAGCCAGCAAAGTGGCCACATTCATGAAGTAAGATGTCTCAGGTACCTACAATGATGACATTTGAAAATGCCAAAGACTCTGGCGCTGATGACTATGGGAGGCATCATGTGGCAACACCTAACTGTGAAACTCATGAAATGACAGCCTTTCTCTTGCAAGATACATGGTGAGTAGGCAGGTAGTCAGTGTTCTTCTGTGTAATTTTTCCTGCAACCATGGCAGGAGAGTAACCCTAGAAGATCCCTTAATCTAAGACTGGGATGAAAGACTCCCATACCTTGTATATCTGAGCAATTTGGAGGCTTCCTGTTTTTTCTAAGACTTAATGTTAGACAACTAAACAAACAATAATTCAGAATATAAATAAATATGTTCACCAAATATTTTGTGATACTGTGTTTCCCCGAAAATAAGACCTACCCATAAAATAAGCCCTAGCAGAATTTCTAAGCATTTGGACAATATAAGCCTTACCCCGAAAATAAGACCTAGTGATGGGCATGGCTACACAGTGTATCTGCACAACCCATGCATTTTATCACAGAGCGGTAAAGAAGAGGAGCAGCCCTTCTCATCTGGCCCATGAGAGCTCTTTTGCCTGACATGAGAGATTGGGGCTAATGGTTCTAAAGGAAATAGAGTTGCAAGAAATTCAGGATGGAATTTGGGGTTTGGAGAGTTATGATGATGTTCCAGAAGAAGACAGCATAACTATATTTGAATAAATGTAGATTGTTGTACCATACTTAAAAAGAATAACACATCCCATGAAAATAAGCCCTAGGGTGTCTTCTTGAGGAAAAATAAATATAAGATTCTGTCTTATTTTCAGGGAAACATGGTACTTTTTCATAGTCTTCATCTTACAATAGGTAGGTTACACAATTTAAGAGTTTTTAAAAATGAAATTTCAATTAGATGGTTGGACATGTACCTATATTCAAAGCTGTTCACATTTGTTTCTGAATCAACTGTCTCTCTCCCTTATTCTCTATTAAATGAGTTATTTTTGAAATGATGAGAAATAAATAATGATCAATTTGGCCTGCATATAATTTACACCCCTTACTTTAATTAAACCATTTCAGTTATCACAATCAGGAAGATATGGGAATCCATTAGAGCCACTTCAAATATTATTGCAGATCACAACCAGCTTTATTTCACTGGATAAGTTATTTTTTTATCAAATATATAATTTTTTTTCAAATGCTACCGAGAGCATTGAAGGAGGCAATTACAATAAAGTATTTAGTGTTTCTCTGAGTACAAATTAAGTGATTAAAAAAATTACATGGTTACATAGCTATGTGAGGTATATAACTAGATAGCTAGAATAGTGATATACACTGTGTGTGTGATATGTTTCAATTCATGGTAATGAGTATAGAACTTTGAAAACATTTTAATCAAATTGTTTCTTACAACATACCTGCAATGTTTAAGCACCATTTTACTTACTTCAGTAATGAAATACACATCTCAAGCTATTATTCACTAAGCTGCCTTATTAAATGGAAGATAAACAAACTAAATTTCTATATTTTCATGATCATCCACATGTTGTTCATAGAGATTATCAACAGATTTGACAATATGGAAGAGTACTGTCAACAAATAATAAATCTGATTATTTCAAAACTGCACTTTTATAGATTTTTTCTTTTATCTATTGTTTTCTGCTACTCATAGAGCATTAACTGGACAATTTTCCCAATGGTCAGATTTAGGAAATATCATATTTAAATGAAGTAGGAATTAAATTAACTATTCAAACACATAACTTTGCCAGTACAATTTCATGGAAATATTATAAATGAAATTATATAATAAGATACAGATTTAACTACATGAACTTTAAGAATCAAATACTGATAGGCTTCTATCATATTAGAAATTTTCAGTTATCTATGGAACAAATGCTAAATATGAAAAAAGTTCAAGAAACAGAAAGATATTCAAAATAATGAATTTAACTTACCAAAGATGAAAAGATGTTTAAGACATGAGTTTCTTTAGAATTATCATGTTATTTTCCTTTACTTCTTACTCTTTACTTAGAAATGCAATCAGTTAATATATATTTCTGAAATGCAGAATAATTGATATTATAATGGTGGATAACTCAAAATAATTCTGGGTAAAAATAATTCATATAAAATTTAGGCTTTGATACAAAACAAACATAACAGAAACAAAGAAACAATGGTTTTACATCTTTAAATCTTTCCTCAAGAGGACCAATTTATAAGAATGAGCAAGTGTGTATGTAAGCATTTATGTATTTTTTGGGTGATCAAATCCCTGTAGTTCAAACTCTGAAGAAACTAACACAACAACAGTCATGACAAAACCATGCATTTGTTTGCAGTATGGTTTCTCAAGAGACTTTCTTTAGGTATCTCAATGGAACTAGCTTTCCCCAAGGTGGGCAATGTAAAAAAAGTTATAAAGAGTGGAAGGAAACATAAACCCTAGGTGAAAAAAAAATAGTAGAAATATTGATTATAAGTAATCAGCATAAATTGGATAACATTTTATTAAGATATACTGTGTCCTGCACCTACCCTGTGTAAGGCAAAAATGAATCCAGCTTGATAACTGCCAGCTTTTCTGACAACTTAGTAGGAAGTAGCATTTCACTTCCCATGTCCACAAACCTCTGTCAAACTCTAAATCTACATCCTACATAGCAAATAGAATAGAATGGCCATGTGTTACTCTTATCAGATATTATATTTAGCTTCAGTATTCTCATTTATTTAACAAATACATCTTGGGTGACAAAGTGCTAGAAGAATATGGATTATCAAAAACAAACAAATGAGGAAACAAATATGTTTGCACTTTCAGTTCCAGCAAGGGAAAGACTAGATTTAACTTCCCTCCCCTCAAAAAATATCTTAGGCTTGCATGGTAGCTCACACCTATAATCTCAGCACTTTGGGAGGCTGAGGCATGAGGATCACAGGAGGCTAGGAGTTTGAGACCAGCCTGGGCAACATAGCAAGACCTTGCCACTACAAATAATTTTTAAAAATTAGCCTTGTGTGGCAGCACATGCCTGTAGTTCCAGGCTGAGGTGGGAGGATTGTTTGAGCCCAGGAGTTCTAGAAGACAGTGAGCTGATTGCACCACTGCACTCTAGCACCCCAGCCTGGGTGACAGAGTGAGATGCTGTCTCTAAATATATGTATATATACACACAAACACACACACACATATACACACAAATCTATGTACACATATACATGTGCCCAACACACACATATACACATATAACATATACGTATATATATTTTTAAATAATTTGAACATTTGAAAACTGAATATAAAAATATACTAAAACATTCATAGATTGACTCATCAAGATAATTAAAATTTTTAATGAGCACAAAGGAAGAAAAAGCAGAAAACTAGAAGTAAAAATGAACAGTGACACTATGACAGGCTTTGGAGTATTTTCAAAATGTTATAATTTTATATGTGAGATTCTATTTGTTCAAAAGCAATGCTAAGCCCATGGACCCATGAACAACATGAAATCCCATTAAAGCCCAAATACAAATCCAATACTTTTGAAACACCTGAATTTTCATTGTAAACATTAAGTAAACCTGGTTATCAGCAAAACATATGAATAAACGTGTCCATCATGATCTGGCATTTTGAAAGGAAAAAAATTCTCATGTGAGAATCAGTAACCCTGCCTGGTTGATAATCAGATTTTGCTGCCTGTGCAACGGAGGCAACTTCGAGCTAGGAAATGAACATGAAATGTCTGAGTTGTTAGCACTGAGAGTGCTAACGAGACGCAGATTGAAATCTAGGCACACATTTCTTCTCCAGACAGTCTTCCAGGATCATCACAGAGTGGTTCCTGTTGACTGTACACTCACCATCTAATTGTGACACACATGAGAAAGCACATCTCCAAAACTGAGAGTCCAGAACGCAATAATTATATTTAAAATGTTCAGAAAGAAATAGAGGTTGTCAAAATTCCAGGATAAGAAACAAAAGGAATAGCAACTTTTCCAAGAAGAACAGGGTGACAGGCTGATGAATCGGCAACATTCTAAGTAATGAATGAATGAATACCTGTGAGAAAATTTAACCAGGGGGAATCTATAGATTTCAAAATATTGCATAGTTGAATGAAGAGGGGAGAACATTGAAAGCCAATAAAACAAACAGAAAAAAGCAGGCATAAAACATTTTGAGCTGAAATAATCAGGTGTGATTCTTAATCCATGGCAGTAAAAGCAGGATCAGTATTGGAATGGATGATATATCTCACGGAACTAAATTGGGGATGCTAGTATAAACACAGCTTAGTGCACCTGGTACTCAACAGAAGCAAACTTACGTATTCTCTAAAACAGATTATCTCCAATTAAGCTGGTTATCAGGAAAAGCCAGCATTCCCAGAATTTTTACAAAAAATATACTCATATATATAAGTATATATGAAAGCAATACTTGTGTCTGAAGAAAAAAGAAATATAGATTTAAGTTAATGATAATTTTAGATATGTGAATCATCACATATATATTATAAAATAAATCTGAATAAATATAAAAATTAAAATTTAATTACAAAAATTTGAAAGATAAGAAATGGAAAATACCTATTCAGTAATATTAAATAAAGTAAAGTAGAATACATATGTTAATATAAGGCGGAGAGATTCTAAGAAAAATTGAGAAGGGATAAAGTCAGTCAAGATATAATAATTGCAGTTTTAAATAATTTAGCAAATATTACAATTGTAAATTGTTAAAATTTTATGTAAATATATTAGTGGATATGTAATTTTTCCTCCTTTCTCATGGATGCATTAAAAATATTGATTCCAGCCACACACTCAGCTCAGGGGCCAGGAGGTACACACAGATGCTTCTGGTCTGAGAGCCTCCATCTGGCATTTGGGCTATGACACCACCCTGCAGGAAGGAATTGTATTTTCTACATTAGCAGTGGAAAACCACAAATTTTAAAATAAAAAAAAATACAATTTACAACAATATCAGTATGAAATGCCTAATGATAAATCTGAGAAAAATTGAATGTCCCATAAACTGAAAATCACAAAATATAGCAAAATAAATTAAAGAAATTTTAAATGAAAAAATATTAATTCTACCAGATTTCCCTGTAAATATACTATTGATGTTTTATCAGCAGAAAGATAACCATTAATTTTTCTCAAAATATGTTTTGTCTTTCATCAATAATCTTGGCATTTATGGGCTGATGTTGTCTAAGTAGCTGGAATATGAAAATTTGTTCTTACCATACTTACTATACTACATTACTAACCAAGTGTTAAAACTAAGAAACCCTAAACCTAAACCCAGGGAAACTGACTAGGTTGATAGATAAAAAATGCCAGGCACGGGGAAAGTTAGAAATAATATCACCCCTTGCTGTTAATAGCATCATTTTGAATATGAAACCTAAAAAGAAAGAAAGAAATTAAAAGAGAGGAAGATAAAAAAAATACTTCACCATACTTCCACGATCTTCTCTGTGGATGCTATTATATTTATAGGCAAGGCACTCACCATTGATTGGTTACCTGGAAGCCTACAAAGATAGCCTGGGTCACAGCCAGTAAACCTTGGATCTTAAGGATATATAGGTAATGAATGACACACTTCACAGAGAAGTATCAGCAGAAGTCCAATGACCCTAGGCCAGCATCATTCTCTGAATACATCGGGATGGAACACTCCTAATTCTATATATAACTGGGTGAAAGAGATTGCTTGGGCTGATACCGATCTCCAACTAGTGGCAAACTTCTACGAGTTGACCATTCTGAAAGGGGTGACGACTAACTTTGTTGTAATGGATAAAGGAAAGATTTCAACAAATTTACCTGGAGGAAATAAAATTGACCTACCCTCTTCTTGACTAAGAAACGGAATACTTCTGAAGCATAGGCATGATACGGTTGCATGTAACTCTAGAATGTTGGTTGATATCAGACAGACATATCCAATTTAAGGTCATTGACATAGGTTGCAAATTTTGACAGCTTATGTAACTTTACTTTTGAAGGGGGTTGAAAAATATTCAAGAGGCAGTAACTGATCTACTAGTTTGGGATACAATGGAAGAGGCTGAATGTGGCAAAAAAGATTCATATCACTCAAAAGGAAAGTGAAACTAAGGAGAAAAAATAAAAGGGAGAATGGAATTTGAGAAGAATGTTAAAAATGCAATTAAAAAGAATAATTTGAGGGATTGCTACTAGAGATTTAGAAGAGCATTTTTGATATTTAGGGGGTAAAAATAATTGGCCCCAACTCCAAACATGACCCATATTTCTCGTAATGACCTCCAAATTAACTCTGTATGTAGATATTGACTAAATGGCCTGGATGTGCTCTCCCATCCTTTAGGAGAATCCACAGCTTTATGCAGTGTTTTGTTGGAATGTTCCATGGTTACTATAAAAATATTTGAAATTATTAGAAAACGGTGCTGATTTTAAAGTGAACCCCATAGGCAACAGTGCATTCTAAAATGCCCAATGATGACACTGGTAGGATATGGAGATGTTATAGCAAAGGATACTAATGTCGTGCTTAAACTGCAAATTGGAAAATTTGCATTTTCCATTTGCATCTGGAGAAAATAGACTGTGGTTGTATTACTATTACCTCAGTGTGTAAGTGGGATTGCCATCAGAGTCTGCCTCTACCATTCCAAAAAAGAATTTTGACCAAGCACACTAATTATATTTTTAATTGGACATTCAAAATGAGAACCTTTGAAATTATCCAGGCCCTACCCTGTAGCAAGGATTAAGCTATTTAGAAATCTTAGTTGTAAACAAGAGATCACTGCTTTGATTAAGTGATTGTTGAAACAGTATTGCTGACCTCAAGTAAGTAATGCCAAGAGAGAATGGTTTATCTGAGCCCTCCCTAAATTCCTGACACACAGAAGCTGTGAGCAAAGTTAAGTGTATGCTTTTCAACCCAAATAAACATTGGGTTAGTTTGTTGCATAGCATCCTTAATCAGAACAACTAAACTGATTGATGAAAATATTGATTGATTTCATTTTATTAT